AAAAAAAAAAAGTTTCTCACCCAACCGACAGACTCTCTCTCAGACCCGTTCTTTCTGGAGCCGCCCCGACTTCAGCAGCATGGGGGCTGCCTCTCCGCCGCCAGCAAGAAGAGCTTCACCCGGGTCTTCCAGGGATTTTGCGATATCCCCGGAGTCCTCAGGGTACGCTCTTCACGATAGCTGTCTCTACGGGACAGCATGGGTCCGTTTGGACCGGCTGATAACGGAGATATCGGCTGCAATCGAGGAGCTCGATTGCAGACCGTATCGTCACGGCGCAAGCTCCTCCCATCTGAAGATTTCTGGTTTTTATGAGAGAGATCAAATAGCTTTTGAACCTCCAAATCAAGTAAGAAAGGGAAAAAAGATTAGATTTGTGTTCTCCCTTCAGGAAGTGAAGCGGGTGTGCAGAGGGCTCTCTCCTTCTGTTTTCCCCCTTGTTTGGCCTGGGTTCTTCCACAATATGGAGAGCAGAATAGCAGGTTCAAGTTGTCTTGTTCTGCTAGGTTCTCCTCCAACTTGTAGTTTAGAAGAAGCAATTTTTTAAAAGTCCTTCAAGAAATAGGAATAAATGTATCATTACAGTGGCAGGAATTGCTAGAGACCCCCCCTTTTTTGGTAATTCTTTGACTCGGAATGGTGCAAGGCTGATGAAAACAATAAATAAATACATTGGTACATTAGCCTTTTTTAAAAGCCTTATTTATAACCTGTAGTTCAAAAATAAGGAAATCGTATTAAAAAATAAAGCAGACTATTAAAATCCAAACGTTGTGGCCATGTTGAGCATGTAATCATGGTACTTTGGGCTACAAAATAATTTCCAATCCTCTGATTTGCACCTCGATTAGGAAATTCTGTTGTTGTTGTTGTTTTTTGTCAAATATGCTGGCTCACATTTAAGTGGTTGTCCCCTAGGACTCCAAGATCCCTGTTGCACTTACTGCTGTTCAGCCAGGTATCGCTATTCTATGCCAGTACATTTGGTTTTTGTTTCCTAAATGTAGAACCTTACATTTCTTACTGTTGATTTCCTTTTGTTAGATGGGGCCCAATCTGTCGATCCTTCTATATCTCGAGCTTATCCTCTGGAGTGTTGGTATTCCTGTCAGTCTGGTCTTGTGTGCAAATTTGATGAGTTCCCCTTCTATCCTCTTGTCTAAATCAATGATGAAGATGAACAGATCTTGTGAATCCTCCTGTCCTGTTTTTTCTCCACGTTCAGGAGAGTCTGGTGTCCTTCGAGGAGGTGGCTGTGTATTTCTCTGAGGAGGAATGCTCTCAGCTCGATCCTGCCCAGAAAGCACTGCATTCAGAAGTCATGCTTGAAAACCATAGGAACGTGTTCTCTCTAGGTAAGAGTTTTCTAGTCCCCAATCAAGAAGAGAGATTATAATTAGTTTTTTATTTAAAAAAAAACACTAATCAAATATTGTCTCCTGGGAGGGAGAAGGAAAGGATCTGGCCTTGTCGTGCTCCAAGGAAGGAAAGAGTCAATGTCTCTTTCCTTAGATGCGTTCTCTGCCATTTCTTATCTGTGCTTTTTCCATTTCTATTTGAACTTATCTGTGGAGGCTGAAATGAATGAGGTGTGCTTTTATGTGGAGGTCATGTGAGAGGAGTGTGTTGTCATTTTTCCTCTGAAACCTCTAAATTCTGTGAGAACAGAACTTTCACCCTCAGCCCATGGAAGAGCATTCTGTCAGCGTTCCAGGAAAACTCAACTCCATTTAAAAACTCCGAGACAGTCAAGTTCTCAAAGTTCCTGTTATTAAGAGTAGTAAACTGGCACATCTGGGAAATCCCAAATCTGAAAATTCCAGGTTTCCCTCCAATAAGTAAAAAATTACAAAGCCACTCCCTGCTTACATCATTCCATCACATGCCCCAATCACCATCCATCCCATTTTGAGGTGTCCCCTCTACTCCTCCTCAACCAAGTGCAGGAACAACATGACCTTGACTGTAATGAAGAATGCTATTATGTCTAACCACATACACTCCATGAAATTCCCCCCTCCCATCTTCCCATGCTCAAGAATGTGGCAGCATGGAAGCTTCAGGGCTAATATGGCTTCCAAGGCTGACACATTCTCCCAATCCAATCCAAGAACAAAGGCCTCATGCAGTGTGACTCAGAGCATCCTAGCCCAGGGGTCGCCAACCTTTTGGACCTCAGGGACCACCAAAGTCATAATTTTAAATCCCAGGGACCATTAACTGATTCTGTGGGCATGGCCTAATTTGTGGGTTTGGCTTGGTGGTCATGTGACTGGCTGGGCATGGCTTGTATGTAAATATTATAAGTATGTATATAAATATTGCACTTTTTATTAAAAAAAGAGCAACTTTTACCCAAAATCAGGCAAAACAGTCAGGCAGATTGAGTTGCTCACAGAATCACAGATTCATTCAGAGATCTATCTATCTGCCATTGGCTAGATCAGTCTGTCACATAAAATTAGCTTGCAAGCAAACTCACAAAATTAACTCACAACACACCATGTATGTAAATATTGATTATTTTTTATAAAAAAGAGCAACTTTTACCCCAAAGCAGGCAAGCAGATTGAGTTGCTCACAGAATCATTCAGTGATCTATCTATCTGCCATCGGCTAGCTCAATCTGTCACATAAAATTTGCTTGCCGTGAGTCTGCACTGAATAATAGAACCTTCAATCCTAAGAGAGGTTCGGCTGTGCTTAAAAGCAGAGCCGAAGATCTAAATACTAGCTAGAAAGTAAGAAATCCAACCATTTCCTACATCCTAGGTAATCTAAATCTCCTGGCATAGCAGAACAGTTGATGGTCTGAAAAATAGCAATTTAGCAGGCAAGTTTGCCGGGTAAGGAGTGAGTGGGCCGGGAGAGTTCCCGTGGGCCATGTGGGCGGTGCAGCCTTGTGTTTCTGTGCAGCCTGGATTAATTGCTTTGGGGGGGGGGGTGCTCTGGGGGTGAAATTTCTCTGCAGCCCACTAAAATTTTCTCACGGCCCACCAGTTGGCAACCCCTGTCCTAGGGTACAGTTCATTAGCGACCATTCCATATTACGACCAGCCCTCCCCCAAGTACTTGAGACCTAGTCCCGAAATTATGAGTATTGCAGCACCACGGCCATCGTTCATACTTACAAATGACAGTAGAGGCTCTGCAACATTCACCCTACCTATCCTCCCACCCTATTCAGCTGGGACTTATTGTATTTTTCAGACTATAAAATGCACTCCCCCCCTTCCCTCCCCCCCAAAAGTGGAACTACCTGTGCATCTTATAGAGGGAATATGGGCCTATTTTTGGCCTCCCAAACCCTCTGCTCGTCCCATTTTCGCCATCCCTGGTATACAGAAGCACTCAGCAGGCCAAAAATGGGCCTGCTGTTGGCCTGCCCGACATTGGGGAGGCTGAAAATGGGATATCAAAAATGGGGGGCTAAAAACTGGTCTGTCTTTGGCCTGCAGAGTGCATCTGGATGCTGGGGAGGAAAAAAACAGGATGTGCAGAGGGTTTGGAAGGCCAAAAATGAGCCTTCTGGTTTTTGTGCAGAGTGCACCTGGACACCTGGGAGGGCAAAAATGGGATGTGCGGAGGCCAAAACTATTTTTTTCCTTGTGTTCCTTCTCTATAATCCTAAAAATACGGTACCTTGTGATGATGTGGTGAGCCATCGGTTCCCTTGCCTGCTTTGGTGCATTTGCAGAAAAAAAGAGGCCTAAAGTAGTGAGAGATACGTGAGATCAGTAGTGGGAAATCTAGCACTATTGATCTCACATGATCTCGCACTACAGTGCTTTCGGCCTCTGTTCTCTGCTAACCAAGGCCTGCACCAGATCCAGGGCAAAACGTTTTGCGAAGAGAAGGAAGGCCTCTTTGTTTCCAAAGACTTTTGCCCTGGATCTCTTGCAGCCCTCAGTCCTTAAAAGAGCACAGACCTAAAGTACTGCGGTGCAATATCACATGAGATGTTAGCCTGAGATCTTGCTCGTGTGATCTCGCACTAAAGTACTTTAGGTCTCAGTTCTCTGCGATTCTTGAAGCCTTCTAACATTTCCAATCTCAACACAAAGTTTTTATAAGGCAATGGGAGGTGTCGAGGCAATGGGAGGCTTCTAGCATGGGATTTATCTCCAAAATATGATTGCTGGGATCAAGGAACAGGCCAAGTGGGGGTCCCACCCACCAGATAGACGCCGTGGAGCAGCTGCTCCAAGGTACACTGGGGACGAAGGAGCTTTTTTCAAAATTGTTTCATTTCTCACAAGTCTCTGTGGAAATTAAGCTACCTCAATAAATCTTAAGTTTTCTCCTAATTTCTCCTTGGATGTTTCCCTTGATTATTCCTTAACTCGAAACTGACTCTGAGTGAGATTTGCATATATATAGATAATTGTAAAGAAAGGTATGTCTAGATATTTTCAAAGCTTTCATGACTCATGAATATAAAAATCATCATGTCTATATCACACCACTGTAGGCATGCAAACGTACAACCTCATGGAATTTCAGAGAAATTCAGAAGGAAATTCACTTGACTTTCTACACTTTGATCTTTTTCTCTAACCTTGTTATGATACATACAGAATAACCCTTGAGTAACAAGGATATGCACATGGAAACGTTTATGAGAGTAGTTATGAATAATTATTCAGCCACATACAGCTGCACTAAATTGAGTTAAAGTTTACTCTAAGAAATAGCACAGTCCAATAAACAGTCCAGATCATATACGTTTTACAGTCCAAAGAATATCCAATTACAAAGTCTTCTTACCAGGTGCCTTTGTCATTTACAGTAAAAGATATCAAAGTATAAGCACAGCAGAAAACCTTTAGATAGCAACAGAATGTCAGAGATACAGAATGTCAGAAATAAGGAATGTCAGAGAGAGCAAGCTATGATCTCTAGCTCCCTCTTATGGCAATTCACAATACAATCAACCAATCGGAACATAGTACAATCAATGCAGTGTCTTTGTCTTAAAGCTACAAACATACATTGTTGGTTTATATATTGCTAACCCAAGTAATTGGTGTACAGATTCCTAACAGTTATCATTTTCATTTCCTTTTTGCTTTGAAGGTAATAATGGGCAAGAGAATCAAGATTCTTGTGAACTGTTCCAAGTGATCAATGCTAAGGACGGAACGGAGAAGTTTGGAATTCGAATGGAATTCGAAAACCATGATAGAAACCAGTCAAAGAATTTCAACCAGGAAAGCTCATCTTCCACTGATGCTCCGATGCAAGACTTTCTTGCCCAACAAGAGGAAATAAGGAAAAAATATACTGGAAAATGTGTGAAGCTAATCAAAGCTAAAGTACAAGTAAATGAACACTATTTAACCCAAAACAAAGGAGAAGATGCTATAAGAAGACACAGTGGACAAAATTACAATGGGACATTCATTCTTTCTCTTGGAAATAAGTTCCTTACATCTCAAAAAGCGATTGACACAGAAGAGAAGCCTTATAAGTGTTTGGAATGTGGAGAATGTTTTAGAACAAGCAGGCAACTTACATCCCATGAAAAAATCCACATGGTCGAGAAGCCGTATAAATGCATGGAGTGTGGAAAGACCTTTGCTCATAGAAGAGCACTTCCTGTCCATAATAGGACCCACACAGGGGAGAAACCATATAAATGCATGGAGTGTGGAAAGACCTTTGCTGAAAGAAGTACTCTTATTTCCCATGAAAGGATCCACACAGGGGAGAAGCCGTATAAATGCATGGAGTGTGGAAAGACCTTTGCTCAAAGGGGTAATCTTATTTCCCATAAGATGATCCACACAGGAGAGAAACTATATGAATGCATGGAGTGTGGAAAGACTTTTGCTCAGAGCAGTGGCCTTAGAAGCCACAAAAGGATCCACACAGGAGAGAAACCATTTAAATGCATGGAGTGTGGAAAGACCTTTGCTCAAAAATGTAATTTTATTTCCCATGAAAGGATCCACACAGGGGAGAAGCCATATAAATGCATGGAGTGTGGAAAGACCTTTGCTGAAGGAGGTCATCTTATTTCCCATGAAAGGATCCACACAGGGAAGAAACCATTTAAATGCACGGAGTGTGGAAAGACCTTTGCTCAAAGAAGTACTCTTATTTCCCATAAGAGGATCCATACAGGAGACAAGCCATTTAAATGCATAGAATGTGGAAAGACCTTTGCTCATAGATACAAACTTATTTCCCATAAAATGATACACACAAAAGAAGCTGTGATGACCCGGGGTGGGCACAAAAGCAACAAAGTCACAAAAGTTGGTAACGTCCCTTTAATGTTTCCAATGTGACCCCCAATGTCCAGTTATCATCGGCTGGAGAAAAAACTCTCCCAAGAACAATTTTGAAAGGGAAGAAATTCAGTCTGAAACCAAAGTACATATAGATTATAAATAAAAACCAACACAAACCACAGCTGCAGCAATTAACGAGGCAGGCAGGATATGGAATTGCAGACTTCAAAAGATAACGAAACACACACAGTTGGGAGGACGCAGGAACTCAGATAAGACTTGACAAAACAAAGATAATGCATACTTTGCTTTCAGCAAGGTGCTGTGCGCAAACGTCCTTTTTAAATCCTGCTTTCCCAGCAGCGGCTAATGAAGGGAATCAGGGCCCTTTTCTCCCCTGTAACCCCCATAACTCACCTTGCTCCCTTCTCCGTTCCTTCCTGCATGCCCTAGGATGAAGAGGGTGTGGGCCTGCTATGGCAGTGGATAGCTTTTTTAAGAAGTAGGCACATATTCCGTCCAGTCCAATAGATAGAGATGGTTTTAGATTTTGTAGTGTTTTTTCAACATTGTCTTCTTTAAAATCGATATGTATTAGATCGTTGTAGTTGTCTGTGGTTCGACTAGGAAATACTGGGCATGATCCATTGCTGTTTAAAAATACTGAGCCAAAGAATGTGTTAAAGTTGTTGGCTTTAATGGTGTCATCGTTGCAGTCTTTACCATTAGGTCGTTTCAGGGGTGGGAGTCTTTTAGTTTGTTGTTTTTACAAAATTGTAGAAAGCGCGGGTGGAATTGGTGCACAGAAGGTTTTCCTCTTGTTTGATGTGATAATTGGTGCATCTGGTGGCATAATTTTTTTAAAAAAAAAACAATTTTATTGGTTTTTAAAGACAAACAAAAAATAAAAACATCCAGCTTTCTTTCATAAATATACAAGCAGTGTGTCGGTTGGTTTACCAATTTTTTGTGCATTCATTTCGTAGAATCAATTACAGTTACATTACATAATAACTCATATTATCAATCAGAAATTAAATACCCTAGTATCACTATTGAACAATCGTTTGACTATAATTTTATTCATTCATACTTTGTGAGATAACTATAATTTACTTAGTTTATTTTATAACAAATCATATAATCATACCAAATCTATCCTAAAAACATTTTATAGATATGATATATAAAAAAAGAAATATATCTTTATGTTATGTCTCCCCTTTAATTGCAGGAGGGCAAAATGAAACAGGCAGTTCACAAACCAAAAAGCAAACCTTCCCAAAAGGACTGCGGAAGGGTTTTCAGTCCTCAGCAATAAATCCAAACTCTGTCCGGCAAACTTGATGTAGCTATAAATCCCAAAGCCTCAAAGAGTTCTCTCCGTGTGTTCACTCCCATAAATCACTTTGCTTCTGGCAAAGCTCGCCAGCCAAGCCGTTTCCTTATATCCACTATGAGGGCGTGTTAATCTCCTTAATTAGTCACTGGCTCGACGCCTCCTTCCTAATTGGGATTGACGCCTCAACTTACGTCTGTTACGCACATCTAGCCAAGTTCTTTCCAAAGACTCCTCCCCACTAGAAAAGTCTCGCAAGTGTTCCTGGTTAGCTACTCCCGGCTGTTGCTCAGCCAGAGGAGAAGAATCAGAGGAGGTCGAAGGTCCTGACAGCTCTATTAAATCAGGTTCGTCCCTCATAGTTACATCCATTTCCTCATCCTGACTACAATCCAAATCACTCAACCTTTCCTGGCACAGTTGTTAAGTGAATCACTGCAGTTAAGTTAGTGCCACGGTCGTTCAATCTGGGTTTCCCCATTGCCTTTGCTTGCCTGGAGATCAGGTGACACCCTTCCCCCAGACACTGCAGTCATCATAAATGCGAGTTATTTCCCAAGGGCCTTGGTGCTGACCACGTGACCAAGGGGATGCGGCAACAGTCGTAACTGTGAAAAACAGCCACGTCCCTTTTTTTTTCTACTGCCGCTGTAACTTCGACCGGTCACTAAACAGACTGTTGCAAGTCTAGAGCTGTGCCGATGGCTGTCTCCTCCCTGGGCCTCAGCAGAGCCTTCAGCAACTCAGCTCTTAAAGAGAACCCAAGATCGCCTCCCCTTCCAGCTCAAGAGGGGTCCCTGGAGGCCTCTGTCTGGGCTCTTCCCCTTGGGAGGCAGGAGGTGAGGTTGCCGGGGGGGGCACAAGGCTGGGTGGGGAGACCCTCCCAAGGCCCAGGCAGAGAGAAACCACCTGAAGCCCAGGTCTGGCTGGTCAGTCCCGGGTGGGGAGCCCCGGCTGGGCAGGAGCGCGGGAGAAGGGGCCTCCTTCCGGGTGAGGAGGAGGAGGAGAGCCTGGCCACCTACCCAGTGGTTGGTCAACTGGTAGATGTCCCCTTCCACCTTCTTGGTGTAGGACACCACCTTCTCCACCTGGTGATCCTTCAGGAGGGCCAAGTCAGGAGTGGGGAAGATGGCATGGACCCTGCGGGGTGGGGTGGAAAGACCGCCGGCCTTCAGCAGGACTGGCAAAAACATGGGCACGGCAGCTGCCATGGCGGCCAGATGGATGGACTGTGGTGGTGGTGGTGGTGCCTTTTCGGGAGGTGGCAGATTCCTCTTGAAAAAGCACCCTTGGGAGAAGCATGGGAGGCCTGGAGGACTGAAAATCTCCATGGAGGTATTTAAAAACAACACTATTTCTATAGTCCCCAAGATGCTGCAAGGAGGGTGGAAAGCCAGGGAACCCGGATTTTGTTCAGAACCCCAAAAACTCCAGCAGACAGAGATGTTGGGAGCAGAACAAAAGGCAGAGCGATCGGACACGTCTATTTTTCTTATATTTCTCCCCACAAAACATCAGAGGCTTTCCCTCCACTTTTCTTTGCCATTTCCTCACTGCCCCTTCCAAGCTGCAGCCCAGCACAGTTCAGCCCCCCCCCCCGGCAACCCCAAAGGGTTACTCACAGCCTCTGCACCACGTAATCACGCAGGTCCTGGTCGGTGTTCTCGTACCAGTCCTTCCTCTGCTGGAAATGGGAGTGCGGGATCGCTCGCAGCGCCAAATACTGGAAGCGCCCAGCCCCGACAGCGGGTGCCGCTTCTCCAGTTGGGGGGCTGAAAAATGGACCACAAAAGACACCCTGCGGCTTCTCACTTGCGTCCCAGAGCCAGAAACTAAACCCTGAGTAGCAGCCTCAGGCCGTGAGGGCCAGTGGTCATCTCAGGGCTGAAGGAAAAAGAACTAGGGGGTAGGAAGCGCTTGGGGAAACAAAAGCTAAGGACCCTTTGGGTGAACGGTCCCAGAAGTCCCCCCTCGCTCCCTCCCCTACTGTCCCAGGATGGGCCTCTTACTTTGGTGCCCCAGGTGTCGCCGGGAGAGCCGGAGAGGAAAGGCCCGGCTGCCTGGTTCCTCCAACTTCAGCATCCCCGGGTGCAGCGGCTGCTTGAAGAGAAGGTTCCCCCCGTTAGCTTGGAGAGAAGGAAGGCCAGCAGGTGAGCAGACAGACACACGGACAGCTACCAGGCCGGGCTCTGGAGCTCCCACCCTCCTTCTGGCCACTGGCTGCTGGGCTCCACAGAAGAGAGGGCTCATCCAAGAGGGCACCCAACAGGCCCAGGGAAAAGGAGAAAGACGAAAGAAAAGCTGTGAAGAATGGCCTGGGGGTGAGGAGGGGGGGAAGTTTTCTCCCACTCCTCCATCACCACCAGCACAGCTGAGGGTGGGGAGGGCTGAGTCAGGGAGATCTCACCCCAAACTCAGGGCTTCCTCCATCCAGGGAAGGAGCCCCGTTTGCAGCAGAGCGAGGAGGAGGAATCGGATCCTGAGTGGGGATCCCCAGAGGGGGAGGGACCCATGGATTCAGCTGGGGGGGCTGGTCCTCCGCAAAGCCAGGCACCACCCAGGATGGAGGCAGCCAACGTGGTGCCCGTGGAAGTCTCACCGAGCAATGCCAGCCTGGCTGCTCTCTCTCTGTCTCTCAGCCGAGAGAGACCTGGGGCATCCCCGCCTCTTTGGAGCCCCACTGTGACCACTTGGGAGACCTGTGGGCTTCCAAGACCCAGAATTCCCCGGCCACCACAGCTGGCTATGGAATTCTGGGAGTTGAAGTCCACAGCAGAGGTGGTGTATTCAGCAGGTTCTGACCAGTTCTGGAGAACGGTGAGTGGAACATTTGAGCAGTTCAGAAAGCCACCTCTGACTGGCTCTGCATCCCACTGACTCCCGGCTGGGTCTCCTTTGGTCGCCCTGCAGAGGAGAACGGAGCTGGAAAGCAGGTCAGTGGGTGGGGAGGGAAGGGGGATTTTGCAGTATATCCTTCCCCTGTGCCCCCACCAGCAGGCCACACCGACAGAACTGCTAGTAACACATTTTCAGTCCCACAGCCGGTCCACAGGCCTTTAAGTGGCTACGGCTGGACCCCGACCATCAGGCCCAGCAGGCTCCCCTTGACTGCTGCCCAGAGCCT